GGCCCAGCGGTAGGCTGAACGCAAGCCCTCCCAGCAAGAGGCCCGAACCGGGCATCACCCGCGTTCTTCGCCCTGCGTTTGCGTTTGCGTGGGTTTACGTGGGTTGCGTAAGTGAAAATTGACAAGATACCTTACCTACCACAGTACCTACCCAATGCCAGCGTATCACAGCATTTGGTATGTAGTATTGGTTTGATGGTGGTGGGCTAACATCAAAGAATACGACTCCATGGAATACCAAAAAGGATCCAACAAACATCCCACCAAAAGTACCTCTCTTTTTCTTGCTCTCTCTTCTCTCAAAGCGGTCAAGTCTCTGTGGATTCTCATCACGAAGGATTCGGGGCTAGAGTGTTCGGACCAAAGTGACAGGAAACCAAACCCATTCGTATTCTCTTCCTTCTGGGCTCCCTCCCTCCCTATCTTTCTGTCCCTCTCTCTCTCTCTCTCTCTCTCCATTTCTGTTCTTCATTCGCCAAGCCGGCAGCATTCTACAGCTTCTTTCCTCCCTCACATGCGCTGTACAACACAAAAAAACGGATCAAATCAAAAGTCATAATAAATACAACAAAAGAACAAGGCAAGCAAAAGCAGTATCTTTCCGCCCAAAGCGCACCCATTCCGTCCTATCCCAAGCACCAGCGCCAACGCACCACTAGGACCCCCCCTCCCCCCATCACACTATTGGCATCGCAAATTCCCAGCTGAGCGGGCCTGCCGCAGTGGCCCGCCCGCGCCTCTACCTTAGACTCGTGCGTAACGGACCAACGGTGAAAGTGCTACTAGCCAAGGTGTGATCGTGACCGCGCCGTGTGTGTGGGACGTGGGATCGTAGAACGCCGCCGGACGGTGGTGGTGGTGGTGGTAATCTCCCCTCCGCAAAATATGAAAAGAGATGGTCAGACACCTCATACAACTAAGTAGGTGACTTCTGGGAAGAAGGGGGTGGAGAGGTCAAAGGTCCCAATCCAACCCAAGCAAGGTCGGTGGCTGATTTTCCCATGTGTGTATGCGTCCGTCGTGCACCAACAGTCGAGGCAGGTTGGACCAAACACATAAATGACCCGCGTGCCCGGTGCCCGTATCCGTCTCTCTACTCATTGTGAACCACCAAATTTAGTTCGAATACGAGCTATGGGGAGGTTATCCCCAATCAGACACCAGAACCTGGATGAGAAGAGAGTCAACCTAGGGTTTTGGGGCTGGAATGGATGCTTATTCATTGCCTATTTGCTTGCTTGCGCATTTTCTGGCCTATTTTCTCGCCTCTTGCACTCTCTCTTACTATTCCTTCTCTCTCTCTTCTCTCTCCCTTCCTCCACGAAACCATCTCTTTCCTCATTCTTCAGCAAATCAAAATCACAAAAAATCTTCATCAAGAGTCCGAGAAACCACGCACAGAAGGAACGCTACCACGTCGGGCGGACGTCCAGCCAACCAGCACTCAACCGCCATCCTTTTCCACACCGCCGGTGCCTTCCCATGCCAGGACCCAACCTTTGGTTCCGCCCCGGGTAAATCAGACGAACTCTCTCCGAGGTGTGGGTGGCGGGACCCAACCACATGGTTGGGACAAGGCTACCAAGCCCAGGACCATCTCATTTTGGACGTCGTCCCATCCTCGAGGCTGAGCCCTTTGTGGCTTTGTCCTTTTTCCTTTCCCCAATACCCTTTCCTTCTCACAGGCAACACAATTTGCCAACGTTGGCGCATTCGGGACCAAGGATGCCGAGTAAAGACCACAATGCCTTTCATTGCTTTCCCCGTCCGGTACCCGGCGCTTAACAAAAACCAAGAAATACCATACATATCGTTAAGTAACCCGCCCACACAATGTCGCAGCACGGCCCGGAGCCGGTGATAGAAGCATCCGGCCGGAGCATTCGACGTCAATGCTATCTTCCGTGTGGTATCGAAATGCCCAGCCACCCAGACAATGCCCGTCTCTTGACGCCGATCTCGACCATGTCGTTGCTGCGCCTACCCAAATTATGCTCGGGTCCGGTCTGTCATGAGACCTTGTAAACAAACCACGCCCATGCCGAGCAGAGCCAAAAATGGCAACCGCCAGAGGGAAACCTCCTTTACCGCGGGATATGCCGTATTTCAATCGGTGTGAATCCCCCGCCTCGACAGCGCTCCAGAATCGAAATATCGCGCCTAGGTACTTGGAGATAAGAAGTCGAATCGGAACCGCAATCACTCTTCTGGCCACGAATTGAAGTTTTAGTGGTACACAGTCAGGGCTGTTGTGCCAGGCCCGGAAACAAGTTCGGCCCTCAAATCTTGCTTCACTCAACTCAAGCATCGTTCGGCCCGACCTATTATTGCCCCTCATGTTTGGAGACAAGTGGCGTGACCCAGCCGCCAATCAGTAATTCTCGCAGCTAATTAGTGTTCCAGGAATAATGGTTCATGCCATCAAACGATCCCCGGTGGGCGCTGCTGTATGACCCAGGGGCTGGAGGAGCGGGAGCATGCTCCTGCTTGGTGGTTGGCGCAGAGCCTCCGCTCGAGTATTGTTCAGGGAAGCCGTACGGCCTTGCCTCACTGCTGCTATACGCAACAGTCGAGGTAGGCTCTCCAGCTGTTGTCGTCCATGAACTCGAGGGCGGATAGTAGTCTCGAGAGGGGTTGGAGTGTGACGCGGGGGCTTCAGCCTTGTAGGATGGCGGTGCAATATCGCTGGGGTTGTTGCCCACTGCTCCGTACGACGAGCCGTACCGGTACTCCGGGGATGCCTCGTGATGGGACATTGACCCGATGGAAGGCTGGCTTGCATGCCTGGGGCTCTTGGTAGGTCGAGGGTTATCGACGTATCTAGGCACGTTGAGCGCGTTGTCTGAGCTCGATGCCATTGCCGTGGCCGATACTGATAGTGGTGGCGGAGCAGTTGTGCTTTGCACATAAGCGTATTGTGTCCTGATCGGAGGCTGTTGCTGTTCGTTGGCAACCAGGGAAAGCTGAACGGAAGGCATCGACGTTTGCAAAGGCATATCATGGGCCTCTCCACCGAAGCTTGCACTTCCCGGCAGAGCAACCTTGTGGTAAGATTCTCCCATTGTCGTAGCGGGGTAGCTTGCCGAGCCAGCTGGTGGTAGTTGTGGCATCCCGGGCACAGAGTTCGAGGAGGACCAGTTGGGGTATGAGCTACGATGGGTCAGTGACCGGGCTTCGTATCGCAACAATGTCGATCAAGTGATAGACATGTACGCTGGATGGAAGGGGGGAGGGGGCGTTGTTTAGCTTACTTGGATCTCATGGCTCCCATGGGTGCTCCGGGCATCTTGGGCCCTCCTGCGTTAAAGGTGAAGGCGGAACGAGGCATCTGCATGTCTAACCCTCTTGCCTTGGCATCCTGCGGCTTGATAGCCAACGGTCCCGCCACAATACCCAGTCCAGTCTCAACCAAGGCCTGGCCCCTGGAGCCAGCGCTCGATCCTAGCAAGGGAATCTCCTTTCTTGCCTGGAAGTTGCGAGGACTGCGGCCCCGGACAACAATAGGCGCGGTAGTCGCTTCAGTAAGCACAATCTTGCTTCCATTGGCCAACGTCCCGACAACCTTGAGGTGGAGCACAAAGTGTTGCTGGAGTTCCTTTCGCCGCCCGTTGTTTGCGGTGGCACTTTGTCAAATCAGCCGAGATTCGTCACGTCTGCGCGCAAGTGCGCCTGTTTCGGGCTGATACTCACATTCTGAACTGCAGTCGGCGCCAGCCAATGGGATAAACGGCATACTCGCCATCGGATTCCGAACCGTCTTCTTGGAAGGGGATAAGGGGAAGCGACGCTGGCTCCTGGTCCGGGGTTTGGGTGATCTCGGGAGAGTTGGGTGGGGGCGTCTTCCAGGGGATGACGATAAGTCGGACGGGGTGGCCGTCGACAGACTCGATGGCAGAGATGGTCACTTCAGTGTTGCTGACGGGGACCGTCTCGCCAGTCTCGGATATAACAGAGAGCTGGCCTCGTGGGGTGATGAGAGAGCCGCTAATCTGGAAGAGGTTTCGTCGGTAACAGGTCAGTTCGGGCTGGAGGATGGAACCGTCGGTGCTGTTGGCTGGCATTTCGGAAAGGAAAAACATTCCGTGCAGCTGAGCAGAAAGCTCCAGCTGCTGCATGCGTCCATGCTGGTCGACAATAGTGTGCTTGTCTTGTACCCTCTTGAACGACAACAGCTTGTGGTCGTGGTTGACGGTAAGTTTGGAGCCATCGTCTCTAAGGTCCTGGACAATCTCCTGGTAAGGGGGCTGTTCGGTTTGCGAGTAGGGTCTCTTGAGATTGGGGAAGCTGTGGTGGGATGTCAAGCTGGGATGCGAATGTCTATCGTACGCATCGGACTCGTCTTGAGGGTAGCGACCATAGGGATAAGATCCGTGGTCTACACTCGGGTGGGTGCTTCTAGGGCGTCCCGCGTGTGGTGAGTTGGCGGCGTGGCCTCCGAGGCCAGAATCCAGGCTGTTGTTGAATCGAGACGACATTTGGACGGGACTCCCATAGTTCGACCAAAGATTGGAATGTGCCGGCTCTTTCAGCTCTGCCATGACGGGGTAAGTGACCGTGGTTGACATTAGAGCATGCCTCTCTGATGCGCTGTAGTCCTGTTCCAGACCCAAGCGCGCTTCTGTCACTCTGCTTCTTCTTCTTTCTTTGTCTCTGGTCTCCGTGTGTACTTTACACAAGGATATGTCGAGGTCCTTGCTGGGCAGTCAACAAGGGCATGTACGTTGTTGATGTAAGTCGTCTTGACCAAAAGAGGTTGGGATTGGTAAAGCGAAGGGGAGGATGAGCGAGTGTGTTATTTGATCTCGAGGAGTGATGGCGAAGACTCGAGAGATGCAGAAGATGCAAAGATGAAGTTGAGGATCAACGGACGACGGTCATGTTTAAGGTTGCAGGGAGAGATGTATACTTGTATCTGATGGGGTGAATGGGTCGCAAGAGGACGGTAGATGTTGGAGGGGGTGTCTGATGAAAATCTTCGGCACTGTTCTGGGGTGGATACAATGATGGGGCAGGGCTGGGGGAGGCCAGCCAAGGCAAGGTCGAGGTTCAAGGTCAAGGTTGCGTCGAGTCGAGTCGGAGTCGAGTCGAGCAGCAAGTTGATGTCTCAACGGGATGTCCCTCCTGCTGGGCCGTTGACCTGTGCCTTCTTCAGCGGTAGCGGCAAAGGCAAGGTCACCGGTACAACGTGATGGCGGGTTCTTGTACAGGACGGTCAGTGCATGCAACCATACTGGGAAGGAGAAAGGTGAGGAGCGGGCGATCTGGTGAGCGGAAGAACAAGGCACGCTATGGAGCTACGACGATGGAGTATGGATGCGCCCTGCAGAGCGGCGACCAGGTTTAGGGAAATACCTTTCTTAGAAGGCGGCGCTATGGGGAAGGGAAGGGAAGGGAAGGGAAGGGGGCACGCAGGACGCAGGACGCAGAAGCAGCAGTACGCAGGCCGTGGTAGACCCAGACTTGCAGACTGGTAGACTGGGAGCAGAGGAGGAGGAGGAGGAGGAGGAGAAGAAAGAAGACAAGGTCGTCGACGAGGGCCCAGGACGAGGGGCGGCACTGAAACGGTTTGATAAGAGCAAACGAGCACAGTTCAGGATACCAGGTCCAGGGCCTTTTGTTGCTGTTGCAGTAGTGTAGCTCTGGTTTATGAATTTGCATACGGACTACTGGCCCGTCCAAGCAAAGGTACGCAATATTTACCTTACCTTAGTTTTAGTGAGTTATTAGTGTGAGCAAGACCACAGAGTGAACATGACGGGCGAGCTCCGGGGGGATGGAGAAACAGCGCATCACAAAACGCTTATTCGCCCAAACGCACTTACGAACAAGTAGAACCAGCCGACGCATATTCGCACATCCAAGACCAGTCTTGTCTTCATTACCCGCACCCGCACATAAACATACATACGATACCTGAGGAAAAAGATGCATAGCTACTTAGGTATCATGGATACGTACGGGTTGAATGGCCCCGGTTGGACAGTGGCATACACCCACTTTCTCTCTCTATCCGTACCGTACCGTACCGTTCATACACACTCACTCACTCTCTGTTTCTCTTCCTCCCCTCTCACTCGGTCGCCCTCAAAGACACGCGCGCGCACACGCACACATACACACTCTCTCTCACTCTTTTTCTCTCCTCCCCTCCAGCACACCCCCGCTTCTGCCGGAGGCGTGGACAAGTCCCTTGCACAAATTGGTATCGCTAGGAGCAAAAGACATGGAAGAGAGTTGACGGCAAGCCTTCAGGGTTGGCACTACTGACCCTGGTGAGCAGGGTGGCATATGCGGTACGTAGCTCTGTCGAGATGGAGGGACGGAGAAGAACCTGGCATGGATCGTACGGAGGCACGGGGGGGAGCATCTCTCGAGGAGAAATCGCAGGCTGGATATGCCCCAAGACCCTCGTCTTGACCAATGGAAGCATCATGGCGAAATGTCCAGGGGTTGAAGAGGGGGGTGTCGCTCGATAAGAAGACTAGAGAGAGAATCCTCCGACGGTTGTTGTAGGCTACTGGCCCGCAATTTTTCTAGAAGACTGTTGGGCAGAGACGCCGACGAAGTCAGGAAGTGGAAAGGTGTAGAGGCGAAGGGGGTGTGAGAGTGCGAAAGTGAGAGTGAGAGAGAGGGAGAGGGAGGGTGAGAGGGGGGGGATCGGTTCACGAGATTGCTGGAGGCCAGGGGCCGAGTTCAACTCGCTTGGGGCACACATCCAGCTCCAACATCCCTGTCCGGGTATGGTGGAGTGGGCAGGCAATATTAAGAGAGGGTTAATATAATAGACACAGGCGCCTGACTGAGGCTTTTGCTGGCAGGCTGGTCAGACAAGAGGCAATGTCTCTGAGTCTGTCCTTATTTTTTCGCCGAACAACGGCGAAGGAGGGGAGGGGTGTTTCCCCAAAAGCAAGGCTGTCAACGGCGCGGTTCGTTCAAGCATTCAGGTGTCGCAACTCTGCTTTTCTTTTGTTCGGGCTCTGCCGTCAAGTGTCATGACTCTCCCGGGAATCAAGACGCGCCAGAGCAGGCACATGCCGGGTTCGAGTCGGTCGGGAATACAACCTCGTTGCTCACTGCTCACTGAGAGAAGAGACATGGAAAGAAACGAGGGGTGTGGGTGGGAAGAGGCCGCAGACCGAGGAAGCAAGAAACCAGAGAGATCGCTTTTCTTGACCAAGTCAAGTGTATCCGTAAGGAGGAGGAAAGAGGAAGGTAATTGAGCCGGTCGGTCAAGATGCCTGAATCCATGGTATATCGAATGCGTGACCACGACTCGCGATGCTTGCGGTTGCATCTCTCAAAGCCTCACTGCGCATGATTAGACTCATATGGAGATCCGTTATGACTTACATAGGTACATGGGCGCTAGTGACCCTATGGACCAAAGGTAATCTCCCGACTCCTCCTTTCTCCTCCTCTTCGTGTCCGGCTTTTGCGAGGATTCAAGAATTGCGAGAATATTATGACAAAGCGAAGGTAAAGGAAGGGTTCAAGGTTGACGACTTGTCAATAATCCGAACAAGAGAAACACTCGGAGCACGGGTGACGGGGTGGTAAGATGTGGGTGTGTCAAGGAAGTAGAGGAGGGGGCCCAAAAAAACCACAGCACACAACTTGGAAGAGTATCCGCAATATGTGAAGAGAGAGCCCAGGCAAGAGACAAAGATAGGTACAAACGCACAGAGAGAAACAGAAACGAAGAAGCAACAAAACGCAAAAGAGAGAGAGAGAGAGAGAAAAAAATAGCACACAAAAAATAGAGCGAGGCACAAATGCGGAGGCGCCCAGGCATGTTCGTGGGAGAAGTTCCTGAAAGGGGAAGCTAACAGTCTGTGCCCGCACCCGGACCAGGGGTCCGCAAAAAGGCGCAGGGTTGGGGGTCGGTCCTCATCATGGCAGTTGATAGAACCCGGCCGCGGGCTTGTCCACGGGGCAGTACGTACTGTCCTTACATAGCACGGATACGTACCCTCTTCTTTTTGTCCCCGTAGTCCCGCCGCCCGCGCAGGTGCGCAACCCACCCATTCACTGCTCCAAGGTGCCGCGTCCGGAATCCCACGAACCAGTCGCATCGCATCATTGGCATCGTGCTGCTGCCAAAGTACCTGGGACAGCTGTGCGTACCTAAGGTAAGGTAGGTAGGTAGCTTGAATCTCCGTTTCCGAAATGGCCACTACCTATTCCCCAAGGTAACCTGCAGAGCTGCATTCTTCTTGCACTTGTTGCCAATCCCCCTCGCGTCTTTTCTCTCGCGAATAGCCTGGGTGCGGATATCTGCCTCTTGACAATTGGGGGCGCTCGGATACCCCGTCCCCCTTCTTCCAAACAAACTCGAAGAAAGGGGTCCCTGGGAAATATGAGAAAAAGAGGCAGCCCGTCTCATCAAGCAAAAGACGGGAAAGACGCGTAATCTTGGCTCCCGTGCTCCAAGGTAATCAACGGCAAGAGGTCTTGGACACGAGGCGAGTTGATGCGAGACGATCAGAAGGCGGCCTGAATTGCGATAGTCAGCATCGTCCTGGTTATTTTGACAAGACGGGACGAGACCACCAGACGCGAGAGTAGTGTACCTATCTCTTTTCCCTGCCCCTCACACTCTTTTACGCACGCAGTACATACTTTGAACGGTACACTACCTACTTGTTAGCCCCGCGGCACAGTAGCACTGGCTCCCGAGGAGCTTCGAGGGTAGCGCAGCGTAGCTTAGCCATAGCGTAGCAGCAGAAGAGCAAGTAGCAGCGGCAGCCGACGCAGAAGCATCAGCAGTCAAGGTCAGGTAGGGCGTTCTAGCTTCCCATTTGTCGGCGTTAGACCGGTTGTGCAAGGTACCTGAGCTGCTACTTCCACGTACCGACATGGATCCGGGCGCCGTTGTGTGGTGGAGGGACTAGAACGAGGATGAGGACGAGGGCGGGTGATGGGCGGCTGACCGCCTGCCTTCCTGACCTCACTGCACATTCATCGAGCGGCAAGGTACAGAGGATTCAAGGTAGGGATACAATGCCATGCAGTCGCCAGTAACGGCCTGGTTTGGTATGTGGGCCTCGACAACGACCTTGGCTCGGTCTGGCTGTGGATGTGCATCTAGCTTGCAATGTATGCTCTCTACTGGTCTTCTGAATGGTCTCGGTCGAGGTGCAGGTCTTGATCTTGGTGGCCAGTACTCTGTATTCGTAGGCTGTCGTCTGTACTTCGTACATACAGATACTGGGGGCGCAAAAAAGAAGGGATCACGGCCGGGTGCATGCAGAGAGTATGCAGTGGCTGCAGTAGCCCCTAGAAGCTTCGACCCACGGCTGCAGCGGCGGACGAATGTGGCTGTTAAGAAGCGTTGGTAGGCTGGGGTCTGGCAGAGCGGTGGCCACATGGGCCAAGCAACTGACTGCCTCTGTGCGACTGCGACTGTGTGCGAGGTGAGGTGAGATGCGGTGCTGTACGGTGCGGGTGCGGTGCGGTGCGATACCCAAGCACCAAAGCGGTCAATCATCAGATGGCGATGCACACGGATGCCGAGGGATAAGCAGGCCGTCCGATGCGATTTCCTGCATGTCGAGGCGGAAAGGGAAGAGTCGCTCGCGCCGTCCTCCGAGCCAGATGCGATCGGAGCGTAGTCCGGTCACGTCGAGGGGTGGCACGGGGGTGGTGACGACGTGAAGTCGGAGAGTGGAGGACAGAAGCGGACACGAGGGCGGGAGGTAACGTTCAGAGCCTGGGTATCCGTAGACCGTAGAAGTCACACGCCCCGAGGTGAGGTGAAGCGGATGAAGGTCTGGGATCGAGTTAATTGCTTACGTACTTGGCCCAGCGTAAGGTACGAAGTTAGGTACCCAAGTAAGGTAAGGTATGTTGCAACTTGCGGGAGTGGCTTACCTTGTTATTTTGGCCATTCTCCTAATAGCAAGTGAATGCAACTCACATATTGGAGAGAAGCGAGCTATATTGTTGATCCAGGGTTAGGTAACTCAATATCCGATGTCGATGCCGTGTGCGAAAAGGAGGTTACTATGTATGGCAAAGTATTGATTGCGGCAGCCAAAGGATATTGAAGCGATGGCAACTATCGATAACAAATTTCCTTGTTCCAAGGAAACCCCGAGAAACACAGTGCAGAGTCGGGCCTTTGCGCAAGAGGGCCTAATTGCCGCACTCGGTCGACAAGGAAGAGACCTGGTGGCCGAATCGAGTTGGAATTGTCAAGCCTGCGATGATTAATCTACGGAGACACAGCTTGTATCCCGGAGCAATATGAACAAAGAAAAGGCGCAACTCCAGAAAAAGTCGGGGGGAGAGGGGGGATTTCCGGGCAGACCAGGACACGATCAAGGCCTTGGTTATGCTCAATGCTTGAGCAGGCCAATCTTGCCAGGTCATGGTCAAGGGAGAGAGATACGGAACGGGTCCGGAATCCGGAGCAGGCCCAGGCCGAAAATGGAAAGAGCAGGAGCCAAGCACGGACACAACCAAACTTCAGCAGTCAGAAGTTCAGAACTCGGTCGTGCCTGAGGAAAGAGCAATGGGCAGCTTCAATGGTGAGATGAACTCGAATCTCAACTTTCAAGGAAGGAGGGACGGGAACGAGAGCAAGAACCTTTCATCAGGCACCCATCTAAGGTGCCTTATTTGGTAGAGAAGGTGGGTGTATCCGTCAAGTAAGGTAGGCAAGACACCGAGTAAGGTGCGCTTGCCTTTCGGTTCGCTCCTGACAGAGATTTGCCCAGCTGACCGTGAGGTGTAGCCTTGGAAGCGACCTGATGGGAAGGAAGGATCCCGTCGAATGACACTGGGTTGGCATCTGCACCTGCCAACTCTCTTTCGGCCCCTCTACCTCGCCTTCCCGGATGTCGTCCCTGCCCTTGGCGAGGACGTGGTGGCAGTGGTAGTGGCAGTGGTAGTGGCAGTTGCAGCGGCAGGTGCATAGCATGGTCCGTACCTTACCTTCCCTCCCTTGTGGTAGGTAACTTGTAAGGTCTGGCTCTCGGAAGTTGCACATCCACGTCTCGACCTCGACTCTTGACTCCAATCTCCAGGCAGGCAGGACAGGCCCTTACCGTCGTAATTGCTCTATTTTGCTCCAAGATCGGGTCGGGTGGTCGGAGGAAGCGACGGGGAAAGGAGGGAAGCACCGCCCCGGCGGCCGGAGGGAGAGGTTCCCTTCCCAGCTTTCCCATTTCAAAGGCCTTGTCAATAACAATAACGGACATGGCATTCTCCATCGTTGATGCCTCGTGCCAACCTCGTGCCCTCTCTAACAACCCCCCGACCTCTCTTTTCCCCTCCCCTCCTCTCATAAGGTAAGGTATGTATCCGTATATGACAGCCCGAGGCGTGCGGCTTGCGGCGTGCCAGGCTCCCACTCACCACACTCCCCCACCCGACCTTAGCCATTCTCCATCCAGCATCGCGACCATGATGAACCCCCAGTGCCACGGCCCCCCCGGCGCAGCACCATCATGACACGCTGCTCTCAACTTCTTCACCGACCCCTTACCTAGGCAGGTCCCCAGGGACCCAGGCTGCCATGCGTGCCAGGTCTCCAACTGGTTTCTCCAGCGCCTAATCCAGCAAGTCAGCGACTCCAGCAGCGCATCAAGACCCCCCAATTTCGGGGCCATGTCCCCGTATCTCAGTGGATTGTTTGTGCAGAGTCGCTGGAGAAATACAGTGCTCAGTTACAGTGCGTAGTTCCGACATTAACCCGCACCGACTGGAAAACTCAAAATTATACCAGGCAGGGTTTCCCAGGCTAAAGGTGCCTTAAGAGCCGGGGCACTGATTCAATCCCGTCAACACCTTGGTCAATCATCGTCGCCCTTTCCCTCTTTGTGCCGGCTCCACAGCCCACTTTCTCTCCTTGTTCTTGCTGCCCTGTCGTGCCTGCCACGCCTGCCTCACCATCCACACTACCTTACCATATTTCTGCCCAGCTCAGTACGTACCTCACCTTCTTGATGTGTGGTCAAGATCCAATGCTCAACCTCCACTCGCACGGGTCCTCCTGCCAACCCCACCTTCTCATCGAGTCCACCTTCCACAGTCCTCAGTCCGCATCGCAAGCAGAAGCTCGGGCTGATTGCGCAGCTCCTGCCCGTCTAACTCTTTGAGATTTTCAACCCGCAATTGCACCTGCCATCCATTGCATCACGCTCGCCCCAAAGCTCCCGAGAATCTCCATATTCGAGATGCCATATGTTGTCCTTCCTGAATGGACTTCAGCTATGCCTGCTTGCCGTAGCTACCTACCTTGTGGAAAGCAGAACGATGTCAAGGTCAGGCACTCAGGTCAAGGTAAGTACGAAGTCGGCAAGTAGCGATATTGAAACGAATGGGATATGTTCATATACCTCCTCAAACCCTCTACATTGCTTCTTCTTTTTCCCTTCCAATGAAATATGGGAGGAATGAGGCACTCCGCATCCAGACATATCTCTCCCGTCGGCTGCAATAATTCCCTCGCCTCTTTCTATCAGCCAATCATCAAAGTAGAGTTAAGCAAGTAGTTGCGCTTCAAGATAACTATGTAGCATATCTTGTGGCCGGACTATCACAGCGGTTCAATCCACTTGTTATCCATCATCCACTTCACGTCGTTCCCTTTGTCAAAAGTCTCCAAATCTGTTAATGAGGGAGAAAAATAGCTCGACTCGACTCGACTCCAGTCTCCTTGACATTCAAACGCCCACTTTTCCTACTGGACCTCCTCCTCCGTCTTTTTCTTCTTCTGCGTCATCTCGCGGTTGTTGCTCAATATCCAAATCCAAAATGTACTTTACATGATCATTTCGGCCTCCCTCTTTGCGACTTTGCCTTGGACATATGCGCAACTACGTACTTCCCTGCCGTCGCAGCACACTATCGACTATCGACAGCAAGCTCTGTGGATCACGGCTCCTCCTCACTACGCACGACTCCTCACATTCTCCTCCCGCCGCCTCCCCTCCAATTAACCCCCCTGGAGGCCGGGAACTTCGACATCATGATCAGGACCCTGGACCGGCACGCGGACCCCCGTCGTCCGTCACCCCTCGCCCACAGCCTAGGTGGTGTCCTGGCCTGCTCGAGCCCGCTCTCAAGCAAGTCACCTCATCGAGGGCACATCACCGTCACCTTCTCCACGTCCCCCACAACTCGTTTTGCTACGCATACCCACGCAGCACCACTATGGTCATAGTGTATTCGTACGGGTACCACACAGCCCACACTCTACTATGGATCGAGGGGACAAACGCTTGTGTTTCCTTCTCAGGTACGCCGGACACCTGCTTCTCTCTGTTTGGCTCGACCCAAAACAAAGTTTATCGCGACTCTCGCCAGCGCCGTTGCATTCGGTTCCTTCTTCCTAGCTCCTGTTTCCCTACGTACCTCGTCCACCATGCCTCAGTATGCAGACTGCCTTGGTCCTTGGGTACTCCGTTCGCATAGCTCACTATACCTTACTCACGCCACAAGGTATCACACCGCAAGGCACTTGTTCAACGCCCCCCGCTCTGCCCTTTTCGTCTCTCTCTGAGTTGCTCTACAGATATCCATACCTACTGCTTTTTGGAGTCGACTCCAACTCCGCGCGAACTGGCCGATATCTGAAGCCTCGTATACCTTGTCACCTTCCAAAGTGAGGGTGAGGCACGCTGCCAGCCAAGCTTGAACCTCATCTCACTTTACACTTCCGGACTGCGATACCTTGCCATCCCGCGGCCTCGTCTTGTTAGGTCCCATGCCCGACACAAACTCTACTCGGATTTGCCGCGGTAACGCGCCCTCCTCTAGGCTTCTCCTCCTCCGCCGCCGCCGCCGCTCTAAGCCTTGGTCCCGTCACCCTGGTCTCCAACCTCTTCGCCGGCCTCCATTCAAGCTCCCGTTCGCAGACTGCTTCCTCGACTCGCTCGACCTGGGCCCCCGGTGCAACGCCTAGATGACGCCTCTCACGCGCGCTTCGTCAAGTGACAGTACCTGGCAGCAGGTGTCAGCCACTGTGGACACCGCTGGTCCACGCTCTCTGCACCGACAATCCAAGCCGTTAAGCTACGCCTGCAAGTGACAGCGCTAACAGACGCACAGTCAACTAGTACGACGCGGGAACCACGTCAACTTCATTCGAGCCTGTTCTTTTTCACAACTGGAGACCTTGTATAGTGTTTGCTACGCATAACTATTCCCCCTTCCATACAGTGTTTATCGAGGCAAGAAGAGGAAAGTGAGGACCAACGATGCACTGTTCGAGCAGTGCTGTCTACAAAAACTTTTCAGCCTTGAAAGCTTGCATATGAATGTATTCGCTCCTAACACGGGCTATCGCCTACTCTGTTCCGCACCTGGAAGCGGCATGCTTTCGCATCAAAGTCAAGAGACAAGTGTATGCGCCTCTAACCGACCGCTTCAATACACGTTATCCGGAGCTGTCATATGGCCCCCTTGCAATTACGACGTCTACCTTACAACTCCAAGTACCTCTACGGAACGCTCCATCGGGATCCCGCAAGATGATTGTCGTACGAGTATCCTCTCCTGAGAGCCGCCTTCACTGGCAGTCCCCGGCGGCGCGGCTACAAGGTCGATCGCATCTGCTGCTGTACCGCCACTTCGGGAGCGTTTAGAAGCACGCCACCAAAGCCACGGCACGGAAGTTACCCTGTGCCTGGCACAATTTGAGAAACCACGACAGTTCGTACTGCTAGCTATCAAGGCCGAGTTCTCCCGGTTCTCGTCCAAGAAACATTTCCCTGCCAATATTCAATCTCTTTCTCACACTTTGCGAGTTTTCACAACTCGATCCGCGATCCACGGGCCTTGCCTAGAGCTGGTACGATTCCTGCGCTATTCTTGACGCGCCTCACCTAGAGAGCGTCCCCGTCCAAGTCGCAGACCTCGTCACAGACCAACGTTCGCGGCGGAAGCATCCCTTGCTGGATGTAACGGTCCGGGGGGTGTTCAAGGGGGCTCACGGCGAATTTCCAGCGAGATCGTGCGGGCATGGACCCGTCACGCCTCTCGTTGAAGCGGGTACCATGTGCAGATGGCTTGCCGCCTGCTTGTCCGACTAGCCCTCGTCCTGGTCGGTCCACCATAGAGCCCCTAACGGCCCTCACGGGCCCTGTCACGCCTTGGCCCTCTTTGCTGCTCGATGCACATCTCATTGGTTCTCTAAGGGACACGACCACCTTCTGTCGACCGTCGCCCAGATTTCTCGTCATCTTGCTCACGGTGGAGAGGTATATCTGGATAAAAGAGCACGGCACTCGATGGCGGACTGTTTCGACACTCTCGACGAGTGACTGATTTGGTCTGGCGGTGGTCTGTGTTTCGACATCGAAACACTTGACAGGGCTCGACCGGGCTGTGTAGACATGGGAAACACGAATCTACATCAGATAAACAGCAAGACCATTGACAGCCACAATCACGACTCGGCCATGGCCGACCTCCGTACGTTCCCTGCAGCAAGGGGCTCGCCATCGTGGTATGGCACTTTCTCATCTAAATGCATGCTTTTGTCACTCATACGGAGTACTTTGTACTTATTGATGGCTCGGAGTTTTTGAGAAACAAGAAGTTCCAAGTCTCGTTTGTGGATTCACGACCGAAATTATCCCCTTTTCCACCCATGGCCATTAACCGACGGGCTAAGACCTATATCTGCAATCCGATATACCCCTCCCAATGGAAATGGCCCCTATTCCGAGCACACATCTGCACAACACCATCGATGAGCCGATGCACTATTTGCCCATTGAATAAGAAGGGTTTTCATTATTTCTTGCCTTTGCACTTGGCATTGCGCCAGGCACAAACCTGAGCAGACTCTGGTTCATGACTAGCTGGTGATGCAGGTGCTTAGACCGTCCGTACCAGGGATTGAAACATTTGCGGCAGCCACGAGGCGCAAAAAATCGGCTCCAGACAGTCGGCTCTGCTCGCTTTATGGATTTCGTGTTGCAACCAGCGCGTCAAGAGTCCCAGGTCTTGAAATCTCCGAATTGGGCCGCTCCAACAGCATGGAGCCTGGAGACAGGTACTGAGTGTGAAGTACCAACCAGCCATGGGATGAAGATGGATCGACAGAGAGCAACTTGAGAGTGCCACAGCGGCGGGGACAAAATGAGAGCGTCCAAGGGCCATTGCTCGCTCTCGCGCGGCAGTCGGCTCTTTGTGGCACTGCTAGACGACATACACGCCATCCCCCCCGAGTTCCCACACACGGATACGTAGTGTATCCGTCGAGGACGACAAGACAAGCAAGAAACAAGTCTGGGGTCACTCTCATTCGGGGGAGGGATGGGGACGGGGGGACACGAGAATGGCGCAAGACTCCCTGATTCTCTGCCAAGCATCTCCTCTGGACCTTGTCACAGTTGCAAACCGTCTTTACCGAAGAGGGCCGCCCCATACAATTGTCATCCACATTTCTCCGGCCAT